GCTAATGATACAGGCATTATTCTCGGAGAAAAAATACTTAACATTTTGCTCAACATGCACAAATACTTCTGGCATTAGCCCTGGTTCACACTGATGCAGTGCGGAATTCGCAGTGTTTTCAGTGTGAATTCAACACCGCATCAGCATCGCACCCGTTCATGCAAACCGCTGCAGTTGTGTATGTTAAGTTGATAACACCCCAAAATTGGTCCGTGAAACGTGGTGCAATGCGCAGAACTGGATCGCATAGGTGTGAATACCTATGCGATCTGATTCTAGTGCGGACCCAAAAAAGGGTCCTGCACATTTTTGGTGCGATTAGAGCCATACAAAATGTATGGCTCCAATCGCACCGCACACAAATTGCATGTGATTTGCACTGGAATGCGGTGCGGTTCCTGTGCGAATTACATGCAATATAATGCACCGCACATATGTGAACCCAGACTTAAAGTGGAAGTAAATTCCCACTGGACACCTGAACCTACAGGTAAACTTATAATAAAGGTTACCTGTAGGTACAAGGAATATCTCCTAAACACTTAGAAAATATTTAGTGCCCCTGTCACCTGCACATGCTCTCTGAAGGAACAGAACACCCAAGCCATTTCTTCAGAGCGCTGGGCTGCAGCGCAGCATGCGCAGGAATGACGTCATCGTGGCTTAGTCAATCAAATGGCCAGAGCCCATGAACCCAGAAGGAAGACCAGTGAAGATGAAAGCCCTATTAGTGGTGACAGTGGGCTTTGTTGTAAAGCAGGTCTTTCATAATGTGCTAGTATACAATGCATACTAGCACACTAAGACATTATTTATTTTGCAGGGTTTTTTTTTCTTTTTTGGTGGTTTACTACCACTTTAATGCAGTGAACATTTCATAAATAGAATCCTAAGTGTTTTTGGCTGATCGGAAAAAAAGCAAGGGTCACTCACCTCTGATGAATGAAAACAACCAGCTGTTGACTGACTAAATGAGGGTCTTTACTGCATTGCTTATATTGAGAGCAGCAAATAATGTACCTACAACCCAAATGTACAGTAGACACTTCCACTGTAAAATTACTTTAATGAGGTTCTCTTCTTCAGGCATACACTCTGAATGTTATATGTAAATTACTTCAGAATTTTCAATAAAATTAGAAAAAAAAAAAAACAAGTCTTTGGTACCTGGCTGAAATGCACTTGAACATAGAGTTCACTACGTCCCTTCAGTGTTGCTTTCCATGTGACTCTTTTGAACTCCAAGGTCACAGAATTGTCCTGGAGCAGGAAATCATGAATATAATCCCTGACACGCAGAGGCCGCACCATCTCACCTGTCAGAAGTAGGATTGGTCACATTTACTTTCGTGTTTCTTCTACTAAATGACAGAATAGAAAAGTAGATAGATACATATGCCTGAACACTAAACAACCACATAATGTTACCTTTGTTCTTGTTGGCAAATATGGCGAATTCTTCCACCTCATTTGGATCCGACACCATCAGCTTCTCACAGATCTCGGGGACCAGATCGGCTGCCACCTGGTGGAAGGACAGACCATTTTATCATCTACCCATGCAAACCAGGGTAATACACTTCTCAGCAGGTAATCCTATGTAAATCTGAAATTTTATTCAAACTGTATAAAAGTACTGACAGTCAGTTGTTCAAGTCAGGTTAACACTCTCTTCTCCCCCTCTTCTTGTGCTCCTGTACTGAGTTTACACTTGAGACTAGAAGGCTGGGTGGGCTGGGGAATTTACAATAAACTAGTAAGAGTGATTGAAAATTAAAGCAATTTTAAGAAATTCACACAGCGCCTGCAGCTGCGGAAGTCTGACAGGACTTCTCTTAAAGCCCACTTATTGAGTAACAGGGATATGCAAAAATTTGAATGTCCATAAACTGACAACTTACAGAGGTGCTAAGTGAGGGGGGTGGTGTGTTACAGAGGTGCTGGGTGAGGAGGGTGGTGTGTTACAGAGGTCCTGGGTGAGGAGGGTGGTGTGTTACAGAGGTGATGGGTGAGGAGGGTGGTGTGTTACAGAGGTGATGGGTGAGGAGGGTGGTGTGTTACAGAGGTCCTGGGTGAGGAGGGTGGTGTGTTACAGAGGTCCTGGGTGAGGAGGGTGGTGTGTTACAGAGGTGATGGTGAGGAGGGTGGTGTGTTACAGAGGTGCTGGGTGAGGAGGGTGGTGTGTTACAGAGGTGCTGGGTGAGGAGGGGTGGTGTGTTACAGAGGCGCTGGGTGAGGAGGGTGGTGTGTTACAGAGGCGCTGGGTGAGGAGGGTGGTGTGTTACAGCGGCGATGGGTGAGGATGGTGGTGAATTACAGAGGTGCTGGGTGAGGAGGGTGGTGTGTTACAGTGGTGCTGGGTGAGGAGTATGCTGTGTTACAGTGGGGTGAGAAGGGTGGGTGACAGAGAGGGTGGTGTGTGTTACAGAGGTGATGGGTGAGAAGGGTGGTGTGTTACAGAGGTCCTGGGTGAAGAGTGTGTTGTGTTACAGAGGTGCTGGGTGAGGAGGGTGGTGTGTTACAGAGGTGCTGGGTGAGGAGGTGTTTGTGTTACAGAGGTGCTGGGTGAGGAGTATTCTGTGTTACAGAGGTGCTGGGTGAGGAGGGTGGTGTGTTACAGAGGTGCTGGGTGAGGAGTATGCTGTGTTACAGAGGTGCTGGGTGAGGAGGGTGGTGTGTTACAGAGGTGGGGTGAGGAGGGTGGTGTGTTGCAGAGGTGCTGGGTGACACACAGGTGCTGGGTGAGGAGGGTGGTGTGTTACAGAGGTGCTGAGTGAAGAGGGTGGTGTGTTACAGAGGTGCTGGGTGAGTAGGGTGTTGTGTTACAGCGGTGCTGGGTGAGGAGCTTGTGATGTTATAGCAGTGCTGGGTGAGAAGGGTGTGGTGTAACAGCAGTGCTGGGTGAGGAGGGTGTTAAGGACACTGCTAGCAGACACCAGAATATACATACAATATGTATACTGTACATATACCTTGCTCTTTACTACCTTTTTCACCTCTTTCCATGCTCACCTCCGGGACTTCTCCGGAACCTCTCCTATCCTCTGGAACTCCCTACCCCAGTATTTCCGGTCAGTACCCACCCTGTCCACCTTGAGGCGATCTTTGAAAATTCACTTATTCAGAGAATCCTACCCCACCTCCACCTAAGAACTGTACTTGAGTCATTTCCATCAGATCATCCCCTGCAACTATCCCCTTTTTTGCCACCTCCCACTTCCTGCAGATTATAAGCTCCTTTAAGCAGGGCCCTCCTATACCTTCTGTATTGAACTGTATTGTAATTGTCCACCTTTATATTGTAAAGTGCTGCGAAAACTGTTGGCGCTATATAAATCCTGTATAATAAGAATAATAATATATCCAAGACAGCTATGGAAACTTTGCTTGTCACTTCCTTTAATCTTTCTGGAGACCTGGTCTTGTCATTCACCATCACTCTTCAACCTTTAAGGGTCCCAGCATGCCGGCAGAATATGTCAATAATTTCAGAATAGACTTTACTTTATAATCACAAATATCCACTGCTCATTTAAAGTGGCGCCCCCCCCCCCCATCTAAAATATTTAAAAGGTCATTTATCTTGTTCCAGTGGCTGCAGGGGAGTTGGCTGCCATTTTAGGCCTTCTTCCCCACAACCAGTGTTGGAACCTCTGGCACCTTGTGGGTAGTCACAGTTTGCTGATGTTACTTAATCACTGCTATATGTTGGGTTACCATTGCTTATTCCTTCCTAATTTTGTGTGCATTTCTGTGCTGGGTATTATTGGTGATAAGTTTATTGAACTTTGTTGTCATGGTCAGTGGTCAGGCTCGAAGACCAGTAGCTATAGCAGTAGAAAGACCAACAGGAAATGTACACAGGCAGATTACCCTGGCGGATGGCCAGAACGAGACCAGGGAAGCATCAGAAGACAAGCATCATCCAATGGCTCCCTTATGTGAGCAGCACTACATTTGTGGGCTTGTCAGGGATGCCCTCAGCTGCCAGCGTGTATCCTCCATCAGTCTCCACATGTATATGTCAGTTTAATTCTGTTCTCCCCTTATACAAATTAACATATGCAGACAGAGACCAGCTCTGTTTGAAAAAAAAAAATAGGGTTGTGGACCTCCTCTCCTGACCCTATAGCGGACTCTCCTTGTAATCTTATAAATAAATTGCCGCACTCAAATGTAACAACTAAGGCAATCATATAAGTGATAATATATATAAATCCAAACGTGAATATAGTCCCAGTATGTTGAACCATGCAGTAGATCACCACGTGTCTTCAATATGATTAGTGCTCCACCACCAGAAAATGGTAGGACTCTTACCAGAACATATGGACCCTTATAAAAGAGTCACAAACACATGAGAATATATCCATCAAATCCCTCAGAATTGGAGGAAGTTAGATCATGGTACTGGATGGAAATATCACTTTCAATTCCTCTCCATTCTTAATCTTCATGATTATACCTCTCAGTGTGTGATAATGCAGAGTAAGACAAAGGGGCGATCATCACATATCTAGGGGGGGGGGTCATTCCTTCTCTGGATGGCTATAAAAAGCAGTGGTGATGGTTGCACATAGTTTCCACATCCCAGATGACGTCATATTGGTCCTAAGAATTAATTTTGCTATAATGGTGCAGTGTGTTGCATGGACTGCAAGTAATATACAACATCTCTCTGAGCTTTCCAGGGTCTAGTACAATATATTTTTCTAGTTTCTATTGATACTCACAGAAAAGGTCTTGAGTTTGGTAGTATATTCAACTCCGCCTGGCAAAACTATAATAACACGTCGAGACACCCGTCCATTCTTTAGAAGGAAGAAAAATATTAATGAGCTTATCCTACCAAACATAATATTTATTTTATCTCACACTTCTAGCCCAAACTCTGTTCAGCATCCTTCCTAAATATTCTCAGTTACCAGCAGAGCTTCCACTTCATTCCGCGGAGGTAGGTGCCGGCGGCCATGATACAGAACAGTATGGCGCAAGTGTTCTTGGCAGTTCCGAGAGATTTCTAAACATAATAAAAAAAAGAGTATCAATAAAAAAGTCTGCTAAACAAACATTTGGAATTCATGAAAGCTATAAAGGTCTGCTCCACCTAAAGCCAGCCATACATAGATCGAAATTTGGCCAGTTCAGCAGGGACTGGCCGAATTTCAAACCACATATTGGGATAGTGTCTACCTACTGATCGAATTCTGTACACCCAGCCTGTCATATAAATGCAGCTTGATCAGCACCGCTGGCTAGAGTTGGCAGCGCTGATCAGTGCATTCAACGAAAAAAAAAACGAATCAAGTATGAGCTGCTTAAGACTGATATAGCAACCAGACTCTGGAGTCCTGGACAGTCTCCTGTCTCTACTCAAATAATAAAGGGCAATTATCTGTTTATCTAACCTATCAGAACCACTTGTCTACAATGCTGTTTTTCAATCCAACATAAGAATGGTATACTGCTGGTCATGTGATAAGGGATGTCCGTGGTCTCCCAGGCTTTTGTAACCAACAAGTTTCAACACTTCCAGGAAGTGTCGAGAGCTGTCCTCTTCCTCCACCTGTATGTTCCTAGTGGTTTAACTCTTTTTTTTTTTTTTTTGGCCAGTAGGAACATGCTTGTATTGAACTTTAGGTTTACTCATGACCATTGAAAGGTAGGGGAGGTATAGTAAGTCTGTATGAAAGATAAGAAGAATGCTCTTACTGATTTATAGGGTTAAGTGTTCCCTCCTTATTTAAACTTGCTTGGCAGACCATGCCAAAGGGTAGAAGTGAATAGAACTCTTCTTATTGTTCTTCTTCATTTGGATGACTATCAAGGCCAATGAGACAACTTAAATGCTGTTTCTCATGAAAAAGTTTTTACTTCTCTCTTACTAGCTTTGACATCAAACCTAGTTTTAACTAACTATGGTAGTAAAATGCAAATCATGTGGCAATGATGTGGCCTGCGGATACTAGAAGGATTTCTAACATAGCAAGCCATGTCAGCATGTGCACAGTAGCAGCCATTCACATGAGGGTGTTTATGTAAAAGGGTATTGGCCAAACAACCTTGAAAATGAGCTATCATGCAGAATTCAGTGTGGTAATGTTTAGTGTCTTTGTCAATGGGCTTAGGGTTTCTGTAGATGGGCAAATGCAGCTTGATTTTTGATGCATACCACTTGGATTTGACATCAGTTTGAGACATTTCTGAGATCATTTAGAATTCATTGACAGGTGCATTTTACTTGCAGTTTATCTCCTAAGCTGCAGCAACCAGCTTCAAGCTGTCCTTGCATTCCCATAGACTTGTATGTGTTTAGAGCCAGGATGAGTTACATTGTCTGTATATTAGAATGTGTTGTCAACAGTGAGAAGAATAAAACTCTACAGGAATGATATTACTGGTAGCTGTAAAACCCATGTGCTTTCACAGTTTGTTAGATGATGTGATAGTCAATAACTGACATACCTTGATAGTCACCAACAGTGTCCTGAAGGTACTTGGTAACACATGGCAGCAGAATGGGGGTAGGCGAGAAATATCCAGTCAGCAGGCTCAGCACAATCCAGCCACGGTTGCAGCTCTCCCTGTCAAATTAGAATCAAAAGGATACATTAGTAATACATATGAAAAGCCCCTTCCTTTTCTGAATGAACACAGTGAGTGATCAGTACCTCACTATGTTCATTCATAACTGAAGCATAGTAAAACAGTGGGTTGAAAAAAAAAAAGAAACTCAATATCCCCATCCACACATTTGATGTGGATGGGGGATTCCTCCCACTGAGCAATTGTATTCTGATAGTGGGAAGACTTCCCCATCAGAAGACAGTGCTGTTGGCTATAGTTTGTGGTGCTGATTGAGCAACAAAAAAATTGACAGGGCGATTGTACAGAAGTCAATTGGTAGATTGACTTCTGTACAACCTCCTTGCTGATACATAGATCAATATTTGGCTAGTCCCTGTTGAGCCAGCCAAATTTCAATCCATTTACGGCTGGCTTAAAGCCCACCCTGTGACCATTTTACACTCAATTCTCCTGGACTCAACTGTTGCTCCTGCTTCTGTGTCCATTGCTGCAGAATACCCAGTTTCTAGGTATGGGAGAGTATATGATCTCCACCCATGATGCATACCTCTCAATTTTGAACTTGACAAAGAAGGACAATTTTGAATAGGCAGAATGTGGCACACATAGTGTGCCACAGCCAAAAGTGAGTGTAGCCATTGAAACATGGCCATGGCCCTATGCATGTGGTTTCCAGTTATTCCTGCAGCTGCTTTGATAAGAATCCCAACTGGCACTGGAATATTTATCATAAACAGAAACACATCCAAAGAGGTATTATTCATTAATAAAATTATGTATGTATAATGTATTTATCCAGCTAGCTACAACTTTTAGTACAGTTTATTTATAGTGCAGCATCCTAACAGCTTTTGCAGAGAATACAGAGATAAACACTAAAATAATGTACAACATAGTGTCCATCGTGAGGGGTCAGCAGTTCATAACACACCAAAAGCAGGGGTCATGAGTGTGTAACACACAGGCCAGGCAAGTCTAACAATAAACCCAAAAATAGTGCTAGAGAAAGATCTTTCTGGGCAGCTTGCAAGTACATCTAGCATACAAACCTCTAAAGTGCAAATACTTAACATTTGCAGAGCCAATAACAAAGAAATATATTCATTACACAGGACTGAAAAGCTGTTTGATTATTTTTATCTAATTTCCATGTATTTTGGTGTGCTGAAAACAAATAAGATATTGAAAAAACTCCTAGACATCATGGTTTGCCACAAAATGCAATATTGTCTTCAAATTTATCAAATTTTTTTAATTTTTGGTATTTTTTTTATATTATGGGTTTTTAACCCAATTTAAAGTCCAAATTACTATTAATTAATTCACATTAGTGCATTTACGATTTAAAATGTCAAAAAAAACCCTTAAAAAATTCCACAAAAACCTTATAGCACTATAAATCTGATGGTCGGCAATATATACATAAGCTAAGCAAGTTTTAGGGAAAAAAATTCTATTTCCTCATTTCCCTAGTTCTCTTCTGACCCTTTGTTGTTATTTGCAGGTAAACAATCTCTGCCCCTCCCCCCCTGCAAAGGGGGTGAATACAAGTGCTGCTCTGAGTGACATGTCTGACTACTGGGATACTCAGCAACATGCTGTATGTGTAAGCCTTAGCCCCAAGTCTGTGCTTCTAATGGTAGAAGGGGTTTCTTTCCTGAAGAATCCAGTGGGAGGGAGACACAGGGCAGATAGCAGCAGCTCTGGTCAGTGCAGGGGGGCGTGGCCAACACTGTGACATCTTGTGTACAGACACAGAGCTGCTCTCTCCTGCAGTCCACACTTGTGCACGAATCATCATCAGGTTCTTGGTTCTAGGCCGTTCACACTTTTTCATCACAGTTCGTGTTAGCTCGTCATTCTTCAACCGTTATGTTATGGCTCCCAGAAAGTGTATTAATTCGCCAGACAGTTTCTGTTTCATCTGTGGTGAATATACAGTGTTGAAGCAACAGCAGAATATTACAGACTTTGTGAAAAAAGTATACTTTGCATACTTTGGACTAAAAATTGGAGACAAAGATAAAGTTTGGGCGCCTCATAAAGTGTGCAAACGGTGTATTGAAGACCTCCGAAACTGGTTCAAGGGTAAGAAAAAATCTTTCCGTTATGGGTTTCCTATGGTATGGCAAGAGCAAAAGAACCATAGTGACAACTGTTACTTTTGTTCATGCAATGTGAAAGGGTTTAATTCCAAATGGAAGCATTCCATTTCATCCCCCAATCTTCACTCAGCAATTCGTCCCATCCCCCATGGCACAGATATACCAGTACCCAAGCCCCCTGCTACCTTGGAAGAGATACCTAGCTCCGATGAAGGTGAAGTCATACCTGAACCAGATGATGAATCAAGTTCTGACTTTGAAGATGATACAAAACCAAAATTGTTTTCTCAGAAGGAGATGAATGATTTGGTAAGAGACTTGAATCTTCCCAAAGATGCAGCTGAGTTACTCAGATCAAGGCTGAAAAGCAGGAATTTATTGTTGCCAGGAGTGTCATCTTCATGGTTTAGACATCGTGAAAAGGAGTTCGTTCCTTACTTCGCCCAGGAAGACAAGTTGGTTTATTGCATCGATGTCGAAGGTCTGATGGGTCAATTTAAAATCCAATATGATTCAGAGCAATGGCGTCTTTTCATAGATTCTTCAAAAAGAAGTCTCAAAGCAGTTTTACTCCACAACTGTGGTTTTTACGCTTTCATACCTGTAGGTCATTCCGTACACTTGAAGGAAACCTACGAGAACTTGGAATTGGTTTTTCGTAAACTTAAATATGAAGACCATGGTTGGCAAGTGTGTGGGGACTTGAAGGTCTTGTGCATGCTGCTCGGGCAACAAGCTGGGTATACCAAATATTCTTGTTTTCTGTGTCTATGGGACAGTCGAGACCGACAAAATCACTGGACCAAGAAGAGTTGGCAGCCGAGGGTGCTAACAGTCGGTGAAAAAAATGTCCTCCGAGAAACTTTTGTACCTTCCCATAAAGTTCTTCTACCACCTCTCCACATAAAATTGGGATTGATGAAGCAATTCGTAAAATCACTTCCAAGAGATGGAGAATGCTTCAAATACTTGGTCACCAAGTTTCCAGGCCTGTCGGAGGCAAAATTGAAGGAAGGTGTGTTCGTTGGACCAGACATCAGAAGGCTTATAGTTGATCAAGAGTTTGTCAATACCATGACGGATCCTTAAAAAGAAGGGTGGATTGCATTTAAAGAAGTCGTACAGAAATTTTTAGGCAATAACAAAGATCCTCACTACAAAAAGATCGTCGGATGAATGCTGAAAGCATTTCAAGCTTTACGTTGCCTGATGAGATTGAAAGTGCATTTCCTCCAGTCCCACCTTGACTACTTTCCTGAAAATTTTGGAGCTGTGAGGAACAGGGTGAACGATTCCACCAAGACATTAAAGAGATGGAAAGGAGATACCAGGGAAAATGGAGCATTACAATGATGGCAGACTACTGTTGGATGCTTCAGAAAGACATTCCAGATGCAACTCACAAGCGTAAATGCACCAAGAGGAGACTCACAGGGAAGAAGAATCGAGTTTAGTGTGTGTAGGTGAGCTCATTTCAGTTCAAAAAAGGATTTTCGTGAAAAAATTGTAATAAAACTTTAATTTTATAAGTCTATTTCCATTTATTTTGAGGTACTGCCTTATTTAACATAGTTACCTAAATTGTCAGGAAACGTGATGTCCTATGACAAAATGGAGGTCATTTTATTCAGCACACCAAAAAACAAAGATTATGTGGAATAACCAAAACAGCTGTTGAAAAAAAGTTTTTTGTAGACCTGTAAATTATTAAACCAATGATATAAAGTGCGAAATCATTAAAGTGCACAAAGTGTTAATAAGTAGAAAGTGCATACAAATTATAGTCCACTATAAAGGTAACTCTTTCTTATAGTCAGTGATAATTTCAATCATCACCAATGTGTAGAATTCTTCCATCAATAAAAGTTCTTCACCGAGTGCCATTGCAAACTGCCACCCTTGCACTCACCAGCTTTTAGGCTGCATCACGAAAGGCAGCAAACCGAGCATTAGTAAATAGAGGGCATCACAGTATGGGAACCACTTCTTGTTATAATCCTTCTCTCCAATTTTGGGGGGAAACCACACCATTTGTACATAAAGCCTAGGAGGGACGCTCACCACATGGAGCCACAAAGAATGGTATATAGTGTAGTCATTTATTCATAAGGTGAACATATATCAATCCAATAAATCCATAAGCCAAGGCTTTCGATCACAACACAGCATCAAGCCACAATGTGGACATAATCACTTACTAAGATGGACACAGATCCACGCGATGGCGTGACATCAGCACGTATAGCTCCTCCCAGTGTGTTTTGTGCACATGCATGTCAAGGGAACACATTTTTTTTTTCCATATCGTAAGTGAGCCAGCTCAAGCTGGAAAAAACCCACAAACCAGCCTTAGGCAGATTTAACCCTTCCTCTTCCCCAGCCTGGGCCAGTCACTAACTCACTAAGCAGAACCCAACCTGCTTACACTTGCCCCCCCTTTTTCGCAAGCTGTCCCAGCTGTGACCATGAAAATAAATAACATTAAACAACAAAAACCAACTGTAACACAATTAACAGAACAATAAATATAAAACCGACATGTAAAGGTACACACTTAGGAAGTCTTTGAATATACATAATTATTAGGATCCGGTAGGAGGACCCTTTATTCCTGTGACTGGGCGGGGTGGTTGTCTGTTACTTGGTGGATGACTGGTTAAGTGTAATCTGGTTTAACCAGCTCAACCCGGTCCATGTAGATATGTCTACCAATATCCAACGTTTGTTATATTGTTTGTGAAAGCAGGCCTCAATAAATTTGTTTTGATACCGGAACTCTCTGAGGTGTTCTGGTACCTGTAGTTTCTCCCATACAACATGCCTGTAGTTTTAGGGTGCTCTTTTTACAGCTGGCTGGTACAAGAGTTCAGGTACATATGGGAATGTATAGC